CACACTTTCCAAAGGCTAAATTTTATTAAAAAATACAATATTTTCTAAGTTAATTAACAATTTTCCTACAAATAAGTCACTTATTTGCTTTTCATGCAATAACTATGCTTGCAATCAAATAGACCCCCTAATATGAGAAATGTGCAGGGAAAAGAAATTTATGTCAAATAAGAAAAAAGTGGGTAAAATAGAACTCGAGGTGAAACTATTTATTCAATCTTCTATTACCAAAAGTCATCCATTCTTGTTCAATTTGAGGACTCATTTAGAAAGTCAAGCCCCCTTTTGGTTTAGTCTGAATTTTTTTTCAACTTTAGTAAATTTCGGATAAAAATTGATGAAATGTGTTTTTAAAAATTTGATAAAAATGGTGAGTTCCATGAAAAGTGAGATTGAAAATGAATTTGTGGAATTTGAGAAAATACAAGCCAAATAGAGGCTAAATGGTATTGGAGAAGATGCAATGAAATTTAGGGCCCGTCTGGGCCCGCTTAAAATTGGCAACTGGATCGTTGGATGGTGCAACGATCCAAAAACAAAAACTGCAAAAAATGACTCGTCGGTCCAATTTTCCAAATTCTACCCTCCATGTGCATTAGGCGTAATTTCTACTCCCATTCCCACCTAGCACAATTTCTTTCACAGCAGTATCCAATTGCTTTTTTCCCCTTCACTATTCTTGCTATCCATCGAAATCTCGTCGACTATAATTTGAAAGTGCAATCGGTCGTTGACTGAGGCAAAAGAAGAAGATCTTCAACCTTCGATTCCAGCTGGTCGTGAGGGGAAAGGGACAACCACTTGAACACTAATTTTGAACTTACCCATCAGTCCATACCCGTTGACAGCAGCCAAAATATCACACGGGAGAACCCAGGCGTAACGCCTACTGCCTCCACCGTAACTCTCGTTTCTTCATTTTTTGATAGTCATTCGTCAGAAACGTAACCCGTTCGTGTCAAACAAGATTTCCACCCCGATCTTTGCTCTTCCACCACAACAGTGCTACGCAATTAAACCATGGACCCGTTCTCTAATCCGGTATGTCAAACACCGTTTTCATTCATTTTACAGTGGAGTGAAATACTTGAAAATTGATTTATTACTATAGGTGCTTCTTACTGACATTTCGTTTTCTCCGTATACTGCACAAACTTACTACCAAGCAAACTCCTCCACGTCAACCGGGCCGTCTGTTCAAAACCAGCGGGTGTCCCATAAGAATGCACATTGGAATTCACATGAGACGAACATATTCGTCACTACCCGTGAGTCTGTTATCGCTGACAGACATAGGAATGGAAAGTGCTTCACCAAACATGGCTGTGAGATATTAATTCACTTGTTCAACACCAATTTTGGGTACAATTGGAACAAATAGCAGCTAAAGAATCAATAGGATGCCCTCCGAATGAAATAGAATCGATTTGAAGAATTACTGAACTGCAGTGGCATATCATATGACCCGCCGATTGGGAAGAGTGGTGCCTCTGATGAGTGGTGGGCACGAAAGATTAAGGTACCATCATTTCGTAAACCTTCAGTCATTGATCACGTTTGTGGGATGGATTGATACATTATTCTAATAACTTACATGTTTTTTGTTCAGGACACGTGGATAGACTCTGTTTTCAGTTCTTAAACGTGGCTGTCGAAGGTAATGAGTTACATAATAATTGTTTTGGGTGTTGTGTTCTATTATAGTTCTTTCTCACTGATCGGATTTGTAGTTTTGGGATGCTTCATTGTATTGTCGCGCTATGGCTCGAATCGTAATATGTTCACTGTTGTTTCTTCTACATGTTCATTTGTTATCCTTTATATTGGAGAGGGGTATTGTGTCTGCGATATATTGTACGTGCATAAATTTGTTACTCCTCATACTTATACAGGAGAATAAAGACTATAAAGAGTTCAAGGACAAAGATTTTATTCGGGGATGTTTTCGACTGCGATAAGTGCGCAATGACACCATCGAAGCTATGTTGCAATGTTCGAAGACCGTGGTCATGGAGATCACTGTGACGAGATCTCGGTCGATGTAGAGCACAATGGCTCCAGTGACGAGGGCGTAGAACCCAAACCAGCTGTAGCAAGCATGGATATGTCCGACCCGCACAGTGGGGATAAACGGAAGGCAGACAGAGATCGAGCAAATGAGATGAAGAAGAAGCTTTCGGCTCGGGACGAGTCGTACTCGGTGGATCGTGCGACCACAGCCAGTGAGAAGGTTGCTGCAAAAATTGACCATTTAATTGGACCCATTGTTTCTGACCCAAAGACATGCCTGTAGGAGTTATTGTCAACAGATCGATTGGAAAAACAAACAGATTTGTACTTATGGACATGCACATTCCTCAGAGACAAGCGTAACAGGGAGATCTTGGACATGCAAGAAAGTGCGAACGAGAAGTTCGATTGGGTGGAGTGGAGGTGGCAAGAGTATAGGAGAACAAAGCCTCGATGAGATGTATGGTTGAGAGGGTTGCGTGGAGAGCCGCTTCACATTTTTAGGTTGTTCTTTGTTCTTGTTTTGTATTGAGTTGAAAACGTTTTCCATATCTTGTATGTTATTATGGACTTGTGACCTACATTTTCCATGTGCAAAAAGAAATCAATGTATTATCTACATTATTGTGATTCGTTGTGATTTTGAGCATGCTCACAAAAAATATGGGCATGTGGATAGCCTTTATAATTGAGGTAAAAAATATACTGAAATAGGAAAAAATAGTACTGAAATAGGGGGAAGCTAGTACTAAATCAAAAGTGAAACAATGTAATTATAAATGTGGTAAAAAATATACTGAAATAGGTGACAGAATCTCTAATGCTGGGGAAAAAATTACTACAATCACATGTGAAACAATGCATTGTTTGTTTTATTCGGGAACAAATTCTCCATTCGCGCCATTCCATTTCCCTATAAAAGGCAACGAGCGGCTACATAATTTCTCATACAGTTTAGCGCATAGTCTTTCATCTCCTATAAATAAGTGGTGGTACGACACATTTCGATATGAACTGTGATTTGCACTCGTTTCGATGGCGATGACGTAGTTGATGACGAGGCATTCACAGAAGAACTACACATGGACATTATTGAGTGGTTTCAATATTGTCATATCCGTGAGGTCACAGTATGTGACTACTATCATGTACAAAGACGTCGTGTGTTGCGATATCCATTCGCGCGAAACGGTCATATGTTCATGCTTGATGCCATGAACTGTAGTTCTCAACAGAGCTACGTAGAGTTCCGTATGAACCTGGCGATGCTGCGATCATTCGCTCACGTACTTCGAGATGAGTACGGACTGCGCAGTCATCAACATATAGACGTATACGAACAAATAGGTATGTTTCTATGCATTTTAGGCTATAGACATGTGCAAACGCTCTTCAACCATTCACTGGAAACAATCGGACATTATTTCAAACTTGTTCTCGCAGCGGTCGTCAAGTTCTCCCAACATTTAATTAAATCGGACCCGAACTACAATCATGGTGCCGAGGGTGCTATGACGGTACACACGTTACATATTTCAGAATTGCATAGGTGTTATTGACGGTACACACGTTAGAGCCATTCTACAGAGGGACGAGCGAGTGAGTTTCATCGAACGCAAAGGAATTCCGACACAGAATGTGCTAGCTACCTGTGGTTTCAATTTGTGTTTCACATTTGTGCCGACTGGTACGACGGGAAATCGTCATGATGCAAGAATCTTGGTTAGGGCTATACACAACACTTAGATAGACTTTCCGAAACCGACGCCTGGAAAATATTACCTGGTCGACTCTGGCTTCACGCATTGACCTGGGTACATGGTGCCATATAAGGGTTCAGATATTTTGTACCACTTGCAGCAATTCTATGATGGGGCTACTAGTCGCAGGCGTAACTTTCGAAATGCACTGGAGAAATTTAATTTCCGGCACTCGTCGTGCAGGAATGTAATCTTCGACTTGTGGAAAAATCGTTGGAAAATACTTGATCGAATGTCGAGTTATAATTTTAAAATGTAAACAGCTGTTGTAATTGCAAATATAGGAATTCACAACTTTCTTTGACGAGTGGGTGTGGTCGATGAAGCCTTTACTGGAGCGAAGATGGACCTCAACACAGTAGAGGTGGAGCTCCC